GGTGCTGGATGCTGAGTCTGACCATGCAAACACTGTCTGGGTTTCTGTCTCTGCGTGGGAGAAGTTAGTCGCGTCTTACGATTCACTCTGCCGTGAAACTAAATGTTGCCGTCAGGATCTGATCGGCCGACCTGTTAGTTTTGGTACCGAGTCACAGACCGACTCCAGCTGTGACTCTGCACTGTACTTATGAGGTAATCTGGCTTTCATGAGTTATATCAACCATTTGGTTACATACAGAGTAGCACTGTTTCATTACAAAGTACAACAACACGGCGTTAAAGCTAAATGTTTTGGGCTTTTTCGTCTTTTGGTACAAAAATAATATAGTAATAATATAAACCAACGTAGAGTGAAGAGCAGATGGAACAACACCGGTCTCCTTAATCCATACTTCTACAGCTCTGACGTCAATGAGACATAAAGAAGTGTAATGTGTTCAGCATTTTCCAGAGGTATGCAGTTTCCTGTCTGAGGTGCTGGATTTTTAAACATCTGTTTATATTCCATGAGTGAATGTGCAGAACACTCCTACAAGAAGAAATCCAACTTGCATATCGGAGAATTGAATATCTGAAACAAATCCCTGGATTTCTCTACTGGTGGGTTCGAATGTCGCCTGCCTTGACTTTAGATTCTTAGGACTAAAGCGTTAGGAAAATCCCAAAGACATCAGCACATGTGTGTCTGGACAGACCTTTTGGTTACAGTGTGTGTGTGCGTTTCAAAAAGCATGAGTGATTGCTACAAGCATGATTGGTTGTTGATGGTTTCTGACTGACTTGCTGGAGAAATCCTTTAGAAGAAGAAACAAAGAAGCAACCGTGTGTCTGATGTGTGCACATTCAAAGAATCCGGACTGCTGAGGGCTCTCAATTGGCCGGCCCCGGGTCAGTCAGTGGCATAGTGTGCAACACCTCATCCAGAAGCTGCAGGGCGCGGTGCAGGTGGACCTCCACCCAGCAGGGAGTGTGTTTGATGCTCTGACGGGGGTAGTCCGGCCCCCAGCCTTTCACGAAGCTGAGCCGCAAGATACAGAGTCGCCTCAGGTCATCGACACCAATGCCTGCTGCTGCAGAGAGACCTGTGAGTGAACAGGAAGGGGGCGGGGTTAATATCAGAGACCATATTAGGACATTTCCACCTGCTGGTGTTTGGCTGTACTCAGTCATTGTGAATGAATTAGTAGATTCTTAGTATATTTAAAAGTTGTTGTTTTTTCCCATCATGTGAGTGTCGTGCGTGTCTCAGCACTTACTAACTGCAGGTGCAATCCCTCCGACGCTGCCTGGACCAGGAATGTTTCCTGAGACGGCGGCCGCCTGTGCAGCAGCTGCAGCTTGAGCCGTGGCGGCCTGCTGCTGCATCTGTCTGTGGCACTGCCGTAGGTCGAACACCTGACCGAGACACAACTGGTGAACACTGTAACAGCAAACCACCTGAGGCATGAAACTCATGAACACTGCTTCACTTTCCTCCCATTGCCCCCAGTCACAGCAGATGCCCGCCCCTCCCTGAGTCTGGCTGGTTACTTCCTGCGAAAAGGGAGTTTTTCTTTCCCACTGTCACCAAGTGCATGCTCAGTGGGTGTCACTGATTGTTGGCATCCTTGTTTTACTGTAGGGTCTTAAAAAAGCGCCTCGAGGCAACTGTTGGTAATAAATATGTGTGATAATAAAATGGAACTGAGCAGGTTAAGTGTTCGATGCAGTGTTCCTGTGCCCAGTGTCACCTATAAACCCACTGCTGCTCACAGTGTTCACAGTAACATATGAATGATGCGAGTGAGCTGGATTTGTACCTTGATGTAGGCTCCAGGGTAGATCTTGTGCACAGCATCACCTGGTGCCCGGCCCGCTTCCCGATCGAGGTAGTAGCTCTGTACAAACACAGCATGGTCGCTCATACAGCGCATCCACACATCCCCCTCACCACGACACTCCAGCTGCACACCTTTGCCTATGTGTAGCCTGGAACACAGGGAAACAG